TATTGTCAGCGGAATCCAGTGTCGAAGACAAGCCACCGTCCTGGAAACACACTTTGCCAGAGGCAGGAGTACGTCAGCTTGACCTTCAGCCCAGGTGCCAGAGGGTGGGTTTTGTTATTTAAATCAAGCCAAGCACCAGGAATGAATTCCTTTGCCTTGATTTTTAGTAAAACTTCCTGGTTTTTGCTGTATAATTGGCTCAGGGTCCCTGTCCCTGTTAGAGGACAGTGGTCCCACCCTGCCCCAGCTTTTCCCTTCTTTCTCTATGTCTGTTTCTTTCTTTCATTTTCTCAATCCCCAGCAGTCCCAACTCAAGGACCAGACTGCTCTCTAGCCTCGCAGGACACGAAAAAGAGAGAAATATTTACAGGTTCAATCACTGGCAATGACATAAATAAGAAGCAACCAATGAATGCATCAATGAGTGGAACAACAAATAGATGTTTCTCTCTCTCTAAAATAATCAATAAATAGAATTAAATAATAATTTAAAAAAAATCAGATCCAACATCCAACAAGAGCCACCTCCACCTTCTGCTATTACCCTCAACAGACCTCCAAACACCACATTCGTGACTGTAGGCTTGATTCCTGCAGACACAGGAGGAGGAGGAAAGGCCAGAGGCGGCTGCCACGTCTCTCTTCCTGCCATCCCCAGGAAACTACAGCACATTCTTACATCGCTGGGAGGCAGCGGAAAAGTCCCCAGTGGCTGGCGTTTTAAATGACTGTGGGCACATCCCAAGGAGGATAAGTACTTCTCCAGAAACCTCAAATTAAGAGCATGGAGGTTGTGGGCATTTTCCCACCCTAGGTCAAACTTTTTAGCCAAAGAATAATTTATTTCACAAAACGCTATGGAGCTCCTTCCTATATATATACACACAGAGAATAAACCATTTATTGTTGTAGCTGGTTCATTGCTGCTTTCACAAGATAAGAAAAATACTGCCCCTTCTTTGCTAGCTGGGACCTCTTTTCAACTTTTGTTCTATGGATTCGTGGACATATTCCTTCCCTCTTAAATGTGCCTCAGAGACTAGCATTTAGGTCCATGGGGAAGAGAAATAAGGAGTGGGGTGTACTGTTCTTCAATTTATACTGTACATAGGCACAAAAAGGAGAGAGAAGAGATCGGCAGGGTGCATCTGTTGTAAAAGATATGCATCTAATAGGCAATAGAAAGTGCTAAATGCTGTCTTTATTGACTTCTGTGTTTGTGACAACTTAGAAGAGAAGATCTCCCCCCAAAAATTATTTGCATAATACTGAAGCATGACAGGAGCCTATGGTCTGTTTGCTTCTTGGGTAAATTCCTTCAGTAATTGTTGCTAAACAATTATTTCCAAATGAATTCTCAAAATACTCATAGATGAGCCAAAAGGTAAAATAATCAAGCAATGACATTAACATTCCAGTTCCATCTCTTCCATGAACCTTCTCCAGCAACTATAGCATTCAAAGTTGGGTATCATCCTACAGGTTACTTTTTAACTTTTATTACTGTTGCTTTTCCCAGCTAGATTATAAACTGACAGCACGGTAAATAGGATGGGAACATGGGCTTTGATGTGGGAGAGATTTGAGTTCCAGCTCTGTACTTGCTAGCTGTGTGCCTGTTAGAGGATTACTTAATCCTTCTATGCCTCCATTTCTTCTTTTGAAAACCAGGGACAGTAACAGTAAGAACCTCATACGATTATTGTGAGAATTAAATGAGACAATGCATGGGATGCCAGGGTATAGCAGACGGTCAATACATATCAGTTTCCCTCTTCCTGTCTTTTAGGCGCTAAATGGTATCTGACAACCATTTTCTTTATTTCCTTCAGGACCTGGCGCAGGCACAAATAATCCTATAAATATTCTCTGATGGATATAGTTCACAACTACACTTAGGGACTGGTTAGCCCTCTCTTATCTAAGAGTAACTGAGAGCTCTGCATGTTTAAGGTCAATAAGTTATTAGGAATGAAGACTGACCTGGAAACCAGCCTCCGGGCCTCTCCCTTGCACCTCACAGCGTCTGATTGACCCCCTTCCTCATCGCAATGGATGGTTCGCCCTGCCGGTTTATTACCCCTTAAAAAGCAGATAGCTGATTCCAGGGAGCAAAGGGTATGTGTGTGTGTCTGTGTCTAGACTCAATGTCATCAGTTGAAAAGAGTTTCCAGGTTTTCTCAAGTACCTTTCCATAGGTTCTAAGCAGAAAGTCCTTATCTTATTGACCTGGATGGAGAACTGAACTTTAGTCCTAACAGGCTTCACCCAGAAACAAAGGTATATGGCTCACTTCAAGACAAAGATCCGATGATAAATGTCACCGAGCAGTCTAGGGGAGCAGTCTGGGGGAGCAGACTGGGGTGGCAGTCTGGGGGAGCAGCCTGGGGGGGGAAGCCTGGGGGAGCAGACTGGGGTCTTAGAGAGCGGGAATAACCGGGGTGGGAGGAGGATGGGGGTGTCAGTGGGCAGATCTGGGTGCTCCCTGATAGGCCAGGAACTACTCCCAGACCACACGCCATCCTGCAAAAAGGCCACCGTGAGCAGGTGGAGGGCGGCGGGAACTGGTTTTAAGGGGGGGGATCGAAAGCCAGGCGGTCCGCGGGGGACTGCACACACAGGCCCCTGAGGTTGGCGTGTGGCCAGTCACAAACCACGGTAAACCCGACACCGAGGCAGGTGCACCGGACCGGAAGGGGCCCGCCGAGTCTTCATCATCACCCTGGACCAGCGCCTCCATGTGGGTGGCCAGGAGGGCCGGGTACCCTAGGTCCCCGCAGACCCCAGAGCCTCCGCGCCCAGCCAGCCATATGGACCGCGCCGGGGCCGCGTGCACCCCTGGGCGGCCCGGCCCGCCGCCAGCCCCCGGCGCGAGCCCACGCCCACCCGTGGGCCCGGGCCACGCGGCTCCTGCTCGGGCGGCGCTCCCGCCACCCCCACGGCCGCCCGAGCACGCACACCCTCCCCGCCTCGGCGCATCCCCCCCCGCAGAGGCGATCCCTGCGGCCCCGCCGCCCGCCGCCCGCCGCGTACCTGCCTCGCCGCAGCGCGCCCGCCCCGCGCCCCTCCCGCAGTCCACGCGGGGCCGATGCTGGAGCCGGCTCACGGTCGCCTTTCTTCCGTCCACGTCCCGCAAGATGACGTTACGTCAGCGGCGTAGGCGTAGCGCCAGGCCGCGGGGCCTCCGCCGTTGACGTGAGGCCAGGGGCCGGCCCGGGGCTGCGCTGCGGCGACGGCGTAGGCGCCTTCTGAGAATCGGCCCTGGCTCCACGTGGCGGGCCCCGCCCACCGGAGGCGGGGCTGGAGCGCTCCCATGCACGTCCCCGGGGGACGGCCGCCAGGGGGCCTTCCCCAGAGGCAGGAAAGATGCTTTGGTGCTCAGCTGCTGGTGGAACTTTTTTTTTTTTTTTTTTTTAAGTTATTTCACAGAAACATTTATATCTAGATTTATTTATCATTGCTTACATTTAAAAAATATATTTTATTGATTTTTTTGCAGAGAAGAAGGGAAAGGGATAGAGAGCTAGAAACATGGATGAGAGAAACATCGACCAGCTGCCTCCTGCACACCCCCCACCGGGCATGTACCCGCAGTTGAACCTGGGACCCCCTCAGTCTGCAGACGGACTCTCTATCCACTGAGCCAAACTGGCCTCTGTTGGTGTAACTCTTTAGGTGTGTTTTCCAGTGTGGGTTTCACACAAACTTTTGCTGTTTAAATGAGAAAAAATTTGGCAGTGAGATAAAATGATTTGCCCCTTAATGGTCTGGAAGTCTTCCCAAAGGTCCCAGCCCAGCTCTTGCTCAGCCAACGGCATTGGGGAGGATATTGCACTTAAATAGTTATGTCTAATCCTAGATAATTGGAACTATTTCAAAGGGGCAAGAGGATCCACCCTACAAGTGAGAGCTCAGACTCCCTCCCTCTCCACTTCCCATGCTTGGCTCAAAGGGCACATTCCTGCACCTGCAGGGACTGCGCCAGGGGAGGGGAGGGGAGGAGAGGCAGCACTTGAGTGTAGTTGGGTGACAAGGAAGCCTTCTTGCCCCTTCTGTAGTTGTCCCTAAGAACATTGCTGAGCCTATTTATTCACTAAACATTGGCTCCTAGGCATTCCCTAGGAGTGGAGAAAGACACTGTCCTCTCCCCAATGAGTTCACAGCCTTCTGGGAGAGACAGATCCGAGAGCAAATAAGAGTGTGTGATTAATTCAGGAGGAAGGGATGCCCAGGGATTCAGGCAAGGCTTTAAAAAGAGAATAGACATTCGAAGTGTGCTTTGAGGACAAGAAGTAAGCAGTTCATCTAGAAGAGGGATCAGAATCATACCAGGAAGAGCGACTGGAAGAAGCAGAGGCATGAGACATATGGGGGACAAGGCAGGAGAGGAGTTCAATTTCCCAGCACCATTTATTGAGTAGACCATCTTTATCCCCTTGTATGTTCTTGCCTCCTTTGTCCAATATTGACCATATAGGTGTGAGTTTGTTTCTGGGCTTTCTTTATCGGTACCATTGATCTACATAAGTCTGATGGTGAGGGTGTGGAGAAAAGGGAATCCTTGTGCACTGTTGGTGGGAATGCAGATTGATGCAGCCACCACGGCAAACAGTATGGAAGTTCCTAAAAACAAAATTTAAAAATGGAATTGCTTATGACCCAGCAATTCCACTTCTGGGTATATGCAAAGAAACCCAAAACACTCATTTGAAAGAATATATGCACTCCTATATTCATTGCAACATTATTTACAATAACCAAGCTATGGAAGCAACCAAGTACTTATCATTATCGAGTGTGTAAAGTGATGGTACATTTATACAATGGAATATTACTTGGCCTTAAAAAGGAATGAAATCTTACATTGTGACAGCATAGATGGACCTGAAGGGCTATACTATATGAAATAAGTTAGTCAGAGAAAGACAAATATCATATAATTTTACTTATACATGGAATCTAAAGAGCAATATAAATGAACAAACAGAACAGAAACAGACTCATAAATACAGAGAACAGGCTGATGGATGCCAGAGGGGAGGGTATTGGGGAACTGTGTGAAAAGATGAAGTTTGTGTTGTTGTTGTTGTTTTAAACCCTCATATATGTAGAAAAATAATCATGAGGCAGACCACGTTACTTAACTTGTATGTGCTGCTGGGATTCGGACAATTGAGTCTCAATCAGTTTTATTTCTCCACCACAGTGGAGGAAAGGAAAAACACAGATAGTAGGATCATTTGCTAGTAGGAAAGGGGGTTGGGATTCTACATTCATTTTGGGAACTATAGAAATAACTGCTTGCCTGGGAAGACTGGCCCAAGGGAGCAGGGAGGAGCCCGATAAAATACATAGCGAGTGGTTTTCTTTTCTGAACAGTCAGCTTCTTTCAAGTCCAGAGGGCAGCTATTCCCAAGTTCACGTGGGGGGCGTAGGAGCATGATCCTTTTTGATGTTGAGCCAGCTGTGTCTGCGAGCAGATGGATGAAGGTTTGCAAACCTTTGGTCAGGCATCACACACTGAAGGGCCGGAGGAAGGGCTCATTGCACTCTCCTGCTTGAGGAGAACAGAACTTGATGTATAGCTGGTATTCTGTAGGTCATATACCAGGGACTCAATTTTTGGAGATCTTTGCAACTGACATTACTGCAGCATGTTCAAGTTCTAAGCAGAGAGCTAGGATGAACAAGATATTTTTATTGCTTTTCTAAAATCTCTTCTCTCATGTACAAAGGCTCCTCCAGTTAAGTCCACTCTTCTCCTAAATGCTCTCTGGTCATTAGCCAACACAAGTAGGCTGCCGTAGGACTTCCCATAGGGAAGATTAAAATCCGGTTCCTCTCCTTTTGTTACTTAGTCTCTAGGTTAAGAGAACTCCAAGGAGTAAGAGACACAGGATAAGGACGGGAGAGACTGAGCCTTTCTGAGAGTCTGCTCCTTTGCTGAAGGCGACTTTGAAAGGAAAGAAGAAGTCGAATGGCAATTTCCAGTTGGTTCTGGGTTGGCCCCGAGGAGGCTCTGGCTTCTGGGTAATGTCCACAAAGGTCACAGTAGTTGTCAAAGACACTTCTGTTACCTGGGAATCCTGCAGGAAGAAAGTCCACAACAGGTCTGCACTTGGTACCAATTTAAATAGCTCTTTGCTTGACTTTTTATAACTTTCACTTCAGAAAGACCAAAACCAAATTGCTCTAAGCAAGATATACCTTTTCCTCACATTGGTCCTATGTTATTTTCTATGAAACACAGGAAATGAATTTCTCAGCAACAGTCCAGAACTGTGAACAGTTTCACCTACCTAAAGACTGACTCTAGCTTCCCCCACCTGGGGAGCTGTCTGATATCAGAGAGGCCAGATGGCAAAACTGCTGTGGCATGCTTAGCAGCTCTACCTTATCAGGCTCCAAGAGGATCCAGGCCCACAAAGGGAAAGGAGGCTAAACCTAAAAGCTTCCGGAGACTAGAGCAAGCAAGTCTCTGTAGAACCCGGAAAGACTCAGTAACAGGAGGTTACAGGGAGGCAAGGAAGAGGTAGGGACAGAACATGGTGACTGAATGGGACTCCCTCCATGCAAACAAGCAACAACCTCTTCCGCACCTCGAGAAGAGACTGGACAATTCAAATCAGAGAAATTCTGGATTTAGAGATGTTGGGCATAAAGAAGGACTGAGTGAGGCATAGAACTAAAAATAAGGAAATTACTCTGTGTAATGAAATACCTTTCCTCATCTAATTCCAAAATGTTGACAGATGGTCTTACAACTATACCGTTCAGTAGGGAGGGCCTTTTTCTGAAGAAAATTAGTAGTTCCACAAAAAGACACAAAGATACGGACAGCTGGCAGAATCACAATGTTTTGGTTAATGACAACCACCTACTGATGGTGGTCCCATTAGATTATAATGGAGCTGAATAATTCCTATTGCCCAGTGATGTGGCACCTATAAAGTCATAGCACAGCAAATTACTCTCACATTTGTGGTAATGCTGGTGTAAGCAAACCTACTGTGCAACTAACTGTACCTCAAGGCCACACATCAGGCCGTCTCACTCATGATCCTGGAGCTTTAGGTCTTATTCAGTAGCATCTGTGTAAGAACCCAAGTTTATTCACACATAAAAACCAGCTGGTCTCAAACATACTTGAAAATATAATACAAATTTTTTTTAGCCCTGTATTTCAATATAACGCAATGAAAATAACTTAAGAGTTTATCTCTGTTTTCTTAGTCCTCATAAGGTACAAGATTTCTGAGGTAAGTTCAGTGTGTTATATTTGAATTCTAAAGTCTAAATTTTTTCCTATTTACATTTTAAAAATATGTATAAGCAAAATTTGAAAATTTACTGTTTAGCATGAGCAGCAAGAACAGTGAAAAAACAAAAACAAAAAATGGAACCAAAGAAGAAAAAAACCTCAATCGAAGTCCAATTAACTCAATTCTTTTACTACCCTGTTTCCCCGAAAATAAGACAGTGTCTTATATTAATTTTTTCTCCCAAAGTTGCGCTAGGTCTTATTTTCAGGCGATGTCTTATCTTTCCATGTGCTAGGTCTTATTTTCGGAGGATGTCTTATTTTCGGGGAAACACAGAAGTATCAAGACAACAAAAGGTACATAGCCAAGTCAGCTTATTTCTTTTAGTAGGGATTCGGTTATCATGTATGGTTGATTTATTTCATGTCTATCTTAACCTACAATATTTTATGATGTCTACTTAAAAAATTGCTACCAACAATTCTGTTTTAACATTTTGTGTGATTTTAGGGAATTTTTTTTTCTTCAATTCAGTTTACATGCAGCAAAACCTGTTTTCCCCAAATAAGATTTACTTTGTAACAACATGAAAAGTTTGCAGTAGGTTTTGTTTGGTTTTGGTAATAAAAAGTAGATCATATGTATGTATATATGTGTATATATACATATATGTATTATTATATTACATTTTTGTAATCTCAATTTTAAAACCATTCTATGTAAATCTGCATGTTGAATCATTTCAAATAAAAACTCATCTATAATAATAAAAGCATAATATGCTAATTAGACCAGATGACCTTCCGGACGAAGCTGGGCTCCAAGGCAAGGTGCCTGCTGGCGCCCAGAGGGAGCCCAGCGCTGGCAGCTGGGGGGAGGAAGGCCTACTCTTGCACAAATTTGTGCATCGGCCTTCTAGTTATCAGATTTATGTTTTGTAGATTCATATTTCAGCCCATAAACTAGGACACCTTCCTCTTTGACTCAGGTTTGTAACTCATTATTGAGTTGTAAGAGTTCTTTATTCTACATACAAGAACTTTGCCAGTGTATTACAAGTATTATCCCCTAGTCAGTGGCTTTTATTTTGGTCTTCTTTTTTCATTTTAACTTTTTCACTGAAGTATAATTTATATACAATAAAAGGTATACATCTCAAATGTTCAGTGTAATGAGTTTTGACAGTTGAATATGCAACTAGACCAACTTACACTATAAACAAGAATAAACACAGATAAAAGACTGTAAATTATGAAAGTGTAACATTCCTAAAAGAAAACATAGGCAGTAAAATCTCAGACATCTCTCAGAAAAAAAGGCTCAGAAACTCAAGTGTGACTGTCACACTGAATATATATTTATGGAAAATTATTTTCTGTGGTTGAATCAACCAATTTAATAATAGTGTATTATAATTTAAAAGAAAATAACCTACATTATAGTCTGGGTTTAGGATATTAAAAAATCAGTAACCAGCCAAAACCGGTTTGGCTCAGTGGTAAGAGTATCAGTCTGCGGACTGAAAGGTCCCAGGTTCGATTCCGGTCAAGGGCATGTACATTGATTGCGGGCACATCCCGGTAGGCGGTGTGCAAGGGGCAGCTGATCAATGATTCTCTCTCATCGATATTTCTAGCTCTCTATCTCTCTCCCTTCCTCTCTGTAAGAAAATCAATAAAATATATTTAAAAAAAAATAAGTAACCAGCCGAAACCGGTTTGGCTCAGTGGATAAAGCTTCGGCCTGTGGACTGAAAGGTCCTGGGTTCGATTCCGGTCAAGGGCATGTACCTTGGTTGCGGGCACATCCCCAGTGGGGGGTGTGCAAGAGGCAGCTGGTCGATGTTTCTCTCTCATCGATGTTTCTAACTCTCTATCCCTCTCAATTCCTCTCTGTGTAAAATCAATAAAATATATATTTAAAAAAAAAATCAGTAACCAGGCAGGGAGGATCTACTTGAAAGTAAATTGTGTCAGCTCACTCTAACCAAGCATTGGCTGGTAGCATACATTGTCTCTCAAAAGTCAAAAATTATATAGGCATCAAATGGCTGATAAGACAGTCTAGGCTTTGCAAGGATTAGCGGTCCTTAATGACCATGACTTACCTTTATGGACTGACACTGGTACAGGAATCGTGCTCCTGACACATGAGCTTGTGGGTTGGATTGGAGGCCTATATATGCCCACAATACCTGGGTCTGCAGGGACACTGGTACGACACAGCAAGAAGTGCAGTGTGTAGCCTACAGAGGGGTAAAGAAGCATCTGTTTGAATTTCTGATGGCTATCTATAAATCCATCACCATGCACTGAGTAGCCATTATTTCTTAAACATTGTACATTAACAGAGAAAGCAATGTGTGTAGAGAACACAAAAGTTCACATAGACTGTATTACTATTCTTGATCTTAGGAAAATTAAAATTCTAAAATGGCCCGGTGTATGAATTTGTGCACAAGTGGGGTCCCTTGGGTTGGCCAGCGATTGGGGGCAATCAGGGCCAATAGGGGCCATCTGGCCCAGTGCCAATCAGGCTAGCCAACTGGGGGGAAAGACCATGAGAGGTTGGCTGGCTGCAGGAGGTTGGCTGTAGGAGTGCACTGACCACCAGGGGCAGGCCCTGCATTGAGCAGCTGCCACCTGGTGATCGGTATGCATCATAGCACCCGGTTGTAACAGTCACTTAGGCTTTTATATACATAGACTAGAGGCCCAGTGCACAAATTCGTGTACAGGAGGTGTCTGGCCAGCCTGTCCCAATTGGGCTGGGCCAGCCAGGGGAGGGGACATGGGAAGTTGGCAGGCCAGTCCACCCCCAATCAAGGTTGGGGGGGCGATCAGGAGTGGGGCTGGCTGGCCAACTGCCCACAGCACCTACCCCTGGCCAGCCAGCCCCACCCCCTGGTCGAACTCCTAGTTGAACTCCCAGTCGAGGGGACAATTTGCATAATAGGCTTTTATTATATAGGATAATAACCACATTATCTATGGAAATAGGGCTGGTTTTAATTTCAACAAAATGGGAATTCGAGTCCCGGTCAGACAGGTATTTCTCTCCTTACTGAAACACTGCAGTTTCTGATGAGGATCCGGGTCCACTCTGACTTCTGAGCGGGGTCAGCGTTACCAAAGATGGCAACATGCTCTGGTCTGGGCCTTCCGTGAAGAGTCTGGTACATCTCTTGTTGCAAGTGGCTGCAATCCACATTTTTCAGCCTGAAATTAAACATCATTGAGGCTGCAGTCCAATGCTAACTTAATAATGAAACCATATTAGCATAGTAACCAAACTGGAGGCCCAGTGCACGAAATTCATGCACAGGGGTGGGAGGTGGGGTCTGTCAGCCCAGCCTGCACTCTCTCACCATCTGTGAGCCCTTGCCAGCTGTGAACCCGGCTTCTGGCTGAGTGACGCTCCCCCTGTGGGATCACACTGACCACCAGGGGGCAGCTCCTGCATTGAGCGTCTACTCCCTAGTGGTCAGTGTGCATCATAGCAACCAGTCAATCTGCTGTTCGGTTGATTTGCATATTAGCCTTTTATTATATAGGATACCGTAATAGTATAAAATGAATTGGAAGGAAAAAAATCTTCGGTAAGTATAGAGGACTGTCAGAAAGCTCTTAGTATTATGAATATCATTTAGATTCTATGGTTATTCCTAAATAGCAATCTCTGAACTATCATTCAAAATATAGAAGTTACCATACCAACATAATCCCTAGATAGAGACAAAATTGTGAGAAATGATGTGGGAGCAATGAATTACCTGAGTTTGCATCCAGACATTGCATTCACCCCAAATTGTACTTTGTGTCTCCTGACAGAGCAAGTTCCATCACCCTGGCTCTGCAAGAGGGTCACCTGAGGTAGAAAGTGCTGGTCAAGGAGGTCATAACAGAAGAAAATAGGCAGACTGGAAAAGGCATGCTCTTATTGTTTCCTTAACACCACTTATATTTTATTAATATCATGGTTTTCTTCCTCTAGTGATTAAAAAGCACACTGAGACAGTGTTTTTCCAAAAATGGTTGATCACACAACAGATATAAAATACCTCATTAAAACAATGTCATGATCCTCACCTTCAGCCCGTCTAAGATGTTTTTTTTTTTTTTTTAAATATATATTTTTATTGATTTTGTACAGAGAGGAAGGGAGAGAGATAGAGAGTTAGAAACATCGATGAGAGAGAGTCATCGATCAGCTGCCTCTTGCACACCCCCCACTGGGGTTATGCCCGCAACCAAGGTACATGCCCTTGACCGGAATCGAACCCGGGACCTTTCAGTCCCCAAGCCGACGCTCTATCCATTGAGCCAAACCGGTCCCGGCCCGTCTAAGATGTTTTAAAGCTTTTGGTCGTATCACCATTTGAGAATACACTGTATTAATGGCTTGGTAAAGGAGTCCTGGATACCGAAAAAAAATGGGGGACTGCAGAATTGGAAAATCCAAAAGATCAGCAGTTGCAACTTTCCTCATTAGGCTGCAACAGGCCACTCAGCTCCAGAAAGGATACAGAGTGACTTATGTCACCAGTTAGAGCCAAGAGTGTCTTCCCGACAACATAGCCAGGATTCCCACTTCGAGGACCAGGTGGGGAAGTGGCTGTGCTCTGAAAGGCCTGCAGAAAGAGTAAAAGAAGTCACTTACGGAGGAAGCATGCTCTCACACCTTCCGCTGCTTGACTTCACACCTTCCTTAAGTTAGCTGCACTGGGGCTTCGCTCCACAGTGTAGGGCTTGGCAAAAATTTCTATTCCAATGACTTCCATTTTTATTCCCTGCAGTAAGTCCTGAGTGATATGAATATTGAAATTGACCATATAAACTCACTGTACGGCACTGCTACCAAGGATTACAAGCAAAGATTTATCAACCCTGTTTTTAAAAAATTAGTATCAATTTAGGTGTATGTTCAGCCTGGCTGAAAGGAGAAATGTAACTGAAAATATATTTTAATTAGCTATAGATGTTCCAGAGATGAACTCTAAGAGATGAGACCTGGTTGATCACCTGGAGGCAGAGCTGAGGAAAAAACCGGACTCGGTGAGGTTAAAAAAGTAGCAGCAGAAGAAAGACAAAGGTGGTGATCAAGACTGGAAATGTAGGTTAAGTGGGGAACGACTAAAACCCTGAATGCCACTTACCTTTTTGACAACATTTATAAATACACAGACAAAATTCATACTCATTGTAAGCTCGTAAGAGCAAATAATACAGAAATACAAAAAGTGAGAAAGTATCTACTGCATGCACAGACATATGAGAAAAGCTTATTAAAGAATTTCCATGGGATGATGGCTGAGTTTATGTTTCAAAATGACTATTTAAAAAAGAGTTTGGATTTGACATTGAATTCCTGCTTTGCTGGGGGCCAAATAGAGAATCAGAGAAATTAATGAACAGGCATTGCTGAATCCCTATCATTTGTAGTTAAATTATGGCACACTAGATGTTGAAGCCTCTTGGTGAGGCCACAAACCAAGTGTGCTTTATGGTTCCCTTGGCTTTGACTCTGCTACAGCAATGGCTGTTCTTTTCCTCTGTAGTGACGGGATTATTTATCCTTTTAAATGTATTCAGGAAGTCAGCACACTATAAAAGAAATGCCTCACCTGACAGACTGAAGTAGGCCTTCATATTCTCACTCTATTTCTCATGTGTTACCGACGCAGAGGAACTATATTCCTCCCCCCGCTGCCCCCAAAGAAGGGCCCTTACCCTGAAGCGAATGATGAATTGTTGCTGTAAGGAAGCGCCTGGCTCAACAGTCAGGTTGGTTTGTCCAAAGCTGACAGAGACCTTCTGGATCCCAAAAGTCCCATTGGTCTCTATCTCATAGATGATCTGCAATACAAAAGGAGAATCAATTAGTAAAGATTATTTAGTGGATCAATTATGTTTAATTTATATTTTCTATCTTTAAAGGTTTTATTATAAATGAATGCGGGTACAGCATGGTGACTATATGAACAAAATTGTATATTTAAAAGTTGATAAAAGAGAAGATCTTGAAAATTCTCATTGCAAGAAAAAAATTTGGAACCGTGTGGTCATGGTTAACTTATAACTGTAAACCTATTTTTGCCTACCCCATTACATATATCAAATCATATTGTACATCTAAAACTAATTCAATAGTATTACATGCTAATTGTATCTCAATTAAAAATATAGCTAAATGAGGGAGAATAAACAAGTAGACTTAAAAACACATGAGAAAAAAGACCGGATAGAACTCTTAAAAGATCTAGGGGAGAGGTGAGTTTTAAGATTTGAAAGGGAAGAAAAATAAGTTTTGATTGTGTGCAGAGGAAGGTGAGAAGAAACCCAGGCAGGTGAATGGAAACCTGGTTTACTTGGCTGTCTCATGTCTGAGGATGAGGAGAAATAGCAGCTGGAGTTAAAAGTTATAAACAAGTGATCCTTAGATTTCTGAACATAATCTTTAAAGTTACGCTTTAAGATAATTTTTACTTCTGTAGGTTGATTAGAAGAGAATAGAGGAAAAATTGATTAGTCTACTTCAGATTTTCTTGCTAACAGAAGAAAACATGGTCAGTAAGAACCCTAAGAGACTGCATATCAACAGAGAAGTCAGAAATACTCGTAATGTTCACGACACGCAATACTGGAGGATAATAGCAGTGGAAACAACCGAAACATGGTAGGGAGTAAGGCGATGGGTTCAATTCTTTGTTAATTTTCAGGTAATGCACAAAACTTCACGTGAGGTCGGTGTGGTACTGAAGATGAGGCACCTCGGTAATGGTGATCAACATTCATCCACCCAGAGCCTGAGGTCAGCATCCCTACCTGGGAAACAGCATTCTGACAAGTGTTTCCAGCCAACAGAGGAGAAGCAGCCTGGGAGACAAGTGTTATAGGAACCTGGAACTGAAAAGGGAAAGAAGTAAATCAACTAAAATTGAAAGCAGCATTTCCCCTTCTAGCTACATATCATGCTAAAATGAGTATTTTTCAATTTGACTATCACCTTTCTCCTTCCGCTGCCAGCCTACAACTTAAGTCCAAGTCATGTCATTCTAAGTCAGCACATCTCAAAACATATTTCTCAGGACACTGATTCTATTAGATATAAAATAAAGGTTCCATAGTCAATTAAGTTTTAGAAATATTATATTTGATACCTGCCTTTTAGAGATTAAGAAGGCCCTTAAGCCTATTAAGGACTCCAAGAAGTCCACCCTACATATAGTGTTTAACTTTGTTTAACCCAATATTTCCCAAACTTATCTAGTAACAACCTTTTGAATTCTTAATTCATATGATGCTTTTTAATCTTATAGAACACCTGGAAAACATTGTTTTAGATTCACACTTGACACTTTGATACATTACAAATACATTTTCTTTCATATTATAAGCAAGGCTGAAATTGCTTTAGATGTAAAGGGACCAAATATTCACTTTACTTTTTCCTGATGAGCAGCATCCTACCTTCATATTCTGCAGATCAGTCATACCTCTTGGCACCTAGAATAAGAGAAAAGCAAGAAAATGAGCATGCACGTATCTGAGAGAGAACCTCCAGGAGCTTGCGTTTTCACATTTGAGGGGGGAGGGAATAAGTCAACATATTACAATCATTTGCTTGCTCTCTCTACCCGACTCTTCTTTATGCTAAACGCCAGGAGAAAGCTGAAGGGAGGCTGGATGGACTGTGATGTCCATCTACTCTGAGCTCTACTGAATGACAAAAGCAGAAGTTTTGATGAAATAGTGAGATGTCACCCCTCTCACCCTCCCTAGCCAATCCCATTAGCCAGGAGGTTGAAAATCTCTAATCATGGCTATATAGCCCTAATTCTTTCCTCTTTCTTCAGACAACAGGTCTTACAAGCCCTCTGTCTTTTATGTAGCTCTTGGGCATTCTGACTTCCAAGTTAGCACTTTGCCCACAACCCAGCAGCGGGCAGCATGCTGACTTTAAACCCATAGGGCTGACGGTGGGAGAGAAGGGATACCCACCTTCAAGACTGTGAAGTTGTAGTAAGAGACAGCATTGAGGGCGGGGTCCGAGGTGCAGCTGTCTGCCAGGTTCTTGAAAAAACGGACACAGGTTGTACTTTTACTCTCCAGGAAACCTTAGCGCACAAAGAATGAAGGGGTGGTAAATGAGAAAGCCTATTCTAGCTTGAAGACAAAGGCTGGCACTTCTGCTCTGGACTCACCGGCAGGATTGCTCTCGATACAGAGTCCCCCAGCTCCAACTCCCGCAGGCTGCCTCAGCAAACTCAGTACAGACCACTTGGATAAGTAAGTCAAAATGGGGTCCCCGGCCTGGACAAAGCATAGCAGAAATTTATTCACAATGAGAGTGGACAGAAGTCCACCAGGAACTGAAAAAGCAGAAACAAAAATTAATTCAGCTCGTTAATGTGGACAAACACTGCCCTCCAAAAGAACTGACAGCCAGATACCTCAGAGATACCCAGGCAATTGTTGGTTATGAGGGAATAATTAAACCAAACAATTCCGCCCCTTTCCCCAGGCTTACCCTGTAAAAAGGTGGTGGCGACTGCGTTTGTAATACTGAATCGAATGGCTGGCCTCCAAACTCTGTAGCTGGGGTCTGGAAGTTGGATGCATTGACTGTTTGGGGCTTCTGGAAATAGTTTAATTTTGCTAAAATGTGTTTAGAAATAAAAGGGTTTTAGTTAAAAACAAAATATTTATTTTTAAACAGCTTGCATGCCAAGTAACTAATATTTTTATTGAAGCATAATATTATATATACACAGTAAGCTTAAGTATACAAACGCGGTAATCTTAAGTGTAAACTCAAATCTACATAACATTATTACTACTACTCAGATTAAGTTATAAAAGCATTTTCCCAGAAGGTTCCCAATCAATACTCCATCTTGAGTTAACAATTCTGATTTCTATCACCTTCTAATTTATTTGTAATCTGTTAAATGAATTAGTTTTAGTGTTAATATCGGAGGTAAGAATATAGCCAACACAATGGAAACAGTATGGAGATTCCTCAAAAAATTAATAACAAGAGTTACCACATGTCTTGGCAACCCCACTTCTGGGTATACAATCCATCCTTTCTAGATTCTGATAATTTACCTTGGGAGATACATGTTTATATAAATGGAGCAATCCTAAGTATTCTATGGTTTCTAAGGGAATGACTCTCAGGTGTTGTTGAGGAAAGAAAGTTCAAAACTACTGGTCCAGAGCAGTAGCAGGAGGGCATAGGAGGCAGGAGGGGAGAACAAAAGTAAGGGAGACCAGTTGGATGCTATTGCAATCGCTCTGGAGCAGGAAGGCTGGGACTAGAAGGCAGTGGGAGATCTGGAAAGGATAGGGCAGCCGCAGCTCATTTGTTATAGCTATCCTCAGCAAATTCCCAAGTCTATTTAAAAACCTTAATAATAACACCTCTCATTGCTATTGCACTCTAACGTTAACAGAGTACTTTCACATCCAGGGTTAGTATTATTATTATCATTGCTTATTTTGCAATTGAAGAAATGAGACTGGAAATGACAAGGGATTTGCCCAAGTCTGAGCAGTTGATAAGTAAATAGCAAGGCTGAGATCTGACTCTAATGCTCTTTCTCCTACACTGTTGCTTCATAAAATAAAAACAAGGTTGGTATATAGGTCATTTTTCAAAAACATTTCATGTACTATTGTATTTGGTGCCTCCTATGTGTCACTTATTGGAGAGTTAATGAGAGCCTTCATGTTGATTGTATCAAGTAGGAGAATAGAATCTACCTGTAATTATCTGGGCCAACAGGGATGATTGAAATTAAAGTTCTGTATGGGTTTTCTGACCCATAGCTAAGAGGGTATTAAAAAAGTACCAATGTTCACTAATAAGAGAAAGAGAGAGGGGGCAGGTGGAAAGAGGTTGATAGAAATTCTCAACAACAACAACAAAAAAATTTAAAAAAAAAAAAAAAACAAAGAAAGGAAAAGGGCAGAGACAAAACCAACTTTTAATACACTGAGTGGCCAAATTATTATCTCTGAACGCATAATAATCTGGCCACTCAGTGTGTGTGTGCGTGTGCGTGCGTGTGTATTAGAAGCCTGGTGCATGAATTCGTGCATCGGTGGGGTCTGGCCAGACTGGCCAGGAAGAGGGGACATGGGCGGGTGGTTGGCCTGCCTGCTGGTAGAACTCCTGGTCGAGGGGACAATTTGCATATTAGCCTTTTATTATATAGGATATAGAGTGAGTGGCCAGATTATTATGCATTCAGAGATCATAATAATCTGGCCACTCAGTGTAAATGTTAGGCAATAAAAACCAACAGGCTGCTACTCACAGTTGTTCACATGGACACAAAACTGCTTAATTCCATTTAGATCCATGAAAACTCTCGAAGGAAATGGGGAATTACTCCTGAAGATAAGGGAGTTGTCCACACAAACCCAACTCGAAGACCTGCGAAGACACAGATAGGATGAAGAAGATGCATTTAGAAGCACAGGGTCGAGTCCAAAGTTGCCCATTAGATGTCCGTCCGATGCCAAAGAATGACTCTCCGGGCAGCCACAGGGCAACATGAAGGTCGTAGTCTGTTGGGCAGCCCTGCTCTAAAGATGCCAAAGAACAATGTCGCTTCTGGGAACAACCACGGCAATCCCACTTGCGGTGGAAACGAGGAAGGCAGGAAGGTTAGCTCTTCCAACTATCACCTATTCTAGGGCCCCCATCCCCTTTAGGGCACAAGTTGGCTCACCTCACGCTTCCCGGGAGGCAGAAGGAGAAAACTGATCTCGGATGGAGAAGAGAGCAGTCTCTGTCGCAGCAGCAATTGATATCGCAGGTGCCAGGAGTCAAGTCACAGACACAGATCGGTAAGACTACGGAGGGACAACATAAAGGGGAGCGAAAGGGATGAGGATCCCTAAGTTCTTCCAGGTGCCAATTCCCTCAACTGACAGCCCTTTCCCCTCTCCCCCCAACCTCACTTTGTAGCAATCCCCTTTGTTCACAGGATTTTAGACCTAAGCCTGTAGTTTCCACCCCCACATTCCCTCCCCTCACCTGGGAGGAGGTCCACGGCCCCATTTTCAGGCGCTGAAGGGGTCCCCAGAGTAGGGAACACCGAAGAGGTCCCAGGCACGGCCCGCGGGGTTTCAGTCCCCTCCGAAGAGGCCGGAAGGGTCCCGCCCTGCGACCCCGGCTCCGAGGGGGTGGGCCCTGGCCCTGACGGGGAGGAAGAAGGCTGAGGACGCGCGCCCTCGGGGTTCAGCAGGAAGAACACCTGCAGGAGCGCGAGCGGCGAGGTGTACATGGGGCTGCCGAGAACCCCACGTGTTTACAGTGGGTCTCGGCGGTCGCCAGGCGCGTCGCTAAGAGGGGGGTGCGGGGAGCAGGCGCATAGCTTCTGACGTCATCCTGTTTGCATCTGCTCATTGGTTCATGGTGATGACTGAGATCTCTTAAGCCAATAGAAAGCGGCGTTGTTACGGCTCTTTCCGGCATCGTTTAGTGTGCGCCCCCCTCCTTAGACCGGGCCCCGCCTCCGTCGCTTGGCAACCGTCAAACGGGCGGAGGCGCCCTCGCCCCTCTCTCCGCTAGGTGGCAGTAGTGGTTCAGCGGAAGGACCAGAGCCGCCGGGGATGTGCGGGCTTCTCGGCCCAGAGGCCTGAGCCCTTCCTTTGGTGAAGGGAAACCCCAGAGTCTGCAACCAGAACTGCGTATCTTTTCCACTCGGATTCTAAGCAAGGATAATTCTATGAAGAAAAATACAGCAAAGATACATACCTTAAAAAAAAAGTCTCATCTAAATTTTGTGTCGGGGGTGGGGAGAGAGAATATATTAGAAAGATTCAGCTCCTTAAATTTTAACGCTGAGAAATTACTAAAACATATCAACCTCAATAAATGTATGAAATCATTAAATGTGGACGGCATATTTGTTACTGCAAAAAAATAGAGAGGGGGGTTGAAAAAATAGAGTGTGGGGGAAATGTGAGAAGATAGAGAAGGATTAAGGAAAAGAGACATTGTATAGGAGATGAAGGGAAAATAAGATTTAGGGATGGAAATATCCAAGGGATGGAGAAGAAAACTTACTTTTTGCTATTACAAACCACTACTTTTTGTAATCCTCTTTAAGAAATGGGTGCCTCTTCTGATTTTCTAGAGCAACACCACCAGTAGAACTTCCTGCAATGTTGGAAATGTTTCACTAGGTATACCTGCACTTGGGATATAGCAACCACAGGCCCTATGTGGCTTCTGTGCACTTGAAATGTGGCTAGAGTGACTGAAGAGCTGAATTTTAAATTTTTCATTCTAAGTTGAATAACTACATGTGACTAGTAGCCACCATGTTGGATAGTATAACTGTAGAATGTAGATGATCAGAATCTTGCTCCAGTGTTTTCCTCAGTCCGCCCAGTTCTTACATCTGTATTATTTCCATGGCTTGGTTTTCTGATTTAGATTAAGGTCTGGTAAGAGTTATCTTAAATATAGTACACTTAGGTGAAACTTAGCAATAATACTTCCTTTCCCAAGTGAATCACTTTAGGCAGATACATTTTAGGATAACTGATCTTGTTCACATTCACTTCTAATGTTTTGAAGTCAGTAGCTAAATGTATCTCTGTGTCATGTTATCAAACATTTTATATGATTGAGTGATGCTAAAGAGACACCTATATTTGTGTTTGAGAGTAATTTCTGTAGGAAAAGGCCAAGTTCAGCTTATGGAAAAAAATAGAATATGAGGTCCCCAAAACAGGAGGTTTTGTCTGTTTAGTTCACTGTTGTATCACAAGCTAGACCAGTGCCTTGGGCATGTTATATGTTCATTAAATATTTAGTAAAAGCCATCGCCAGTGTGGCTCAGTTGGTTGGGCGTCATCTGTGCACCAAAGGTTGCTGGTTCGATTCCAGAACAAGGGCTCAATCCCAGGTAGGGGGTGTTCAGGAGGCAGCTAATAGACATGACCAATTAGAGTATGTTAGATTTCAAAGTTTGGAATTTACACTGTAATTCTCAACCAATGGTAGATTATTCCTTAAATTTATTAAGAATTATTTCTTAATTTATTAAGAATCTATTGGTTGGAGTAATTTCAGGGTTGAGCGTAGGGAAATCACATTTCAGGATCTGAGTTGCTTTTTCTTATTTTTGAATATCAGCACTTTACAGATTTTTTGGAATAATAATTTTTTTCTTTCTTTGTCATAGTTGGACCAAAATATTATTTGTATTGTTGCTGTTATATGCTTGTAGGAATCTTTGTAATATAGAACTTGACATTCTTTTGAGATCTAATATTTAAATCTGAAAGTTAATTTTGAGGAAGGAGAATTAAATCTTTTCACATGTGTCATGCAGATGCCACTTTTAACGTGGGGACCAAGTCTTCAATGGAAATAGCTTAATATGACATCACCTCAGAAGCAGAGGTTTCCAAATTAGATCATATGATACTAGCAGCTGTCTGTGCTTGGTACTGAGAAGTTCAATGTGTGCTTAGAAATTTAGCCAAGAGACTGGATCAACATGGCAGATGGAGAACACATTCTATCCTCTCCGAACTCCTCCCCTCTCCTAAACCTCTGAAAATTACAGCAAGGGTACATCCATGCACATACATTGATATTGAAAAACACCAAGGGGAGTTCTCAATGGACTAGACATTATGAGAATCCTTGAAATATAGAAAGTAGATGGAATTGAATCGAAGGTGGACAAATAAAAGTTGCATAACAGAGGCTTAATACAATCTTAAGAATGTTCTAAGCACACAGTAAGAAGCTATTTGTATCAATAGAGCCCTTGGACAATTGTATGAGTTATTGATTGAGGTACCACTGTATAGTATTTAAAGATAACACTTTGCAAAACTACAGTACACTCAACCAGAGTATTGGCATTGATACAATTCACCTATCTTCTGATTTTTCCAAGTTTGACTCTTGTGCATGCGTGTGTGTGTGTGTGTGTGTGTGTGTGTATTTAGTTCTACGCAATTTCATCACATGCGCATTTTCATGAACCCACAACCATAGTAAAGACACAGAGCAGTTCCACTGACACAAAGATCACTCTATTATCTTTTCATAACTATTTCCACCTCCCTCCTCCTACTCCCTCTCTAGGAAGCATTTTTAAACCATCATTAATCTTTGTAATAACCACGATTAAAATAACTATGTAAATTCAACAGTGGTTCACAAGCAATTATCCAAGTAAGTAAAATAAATGAAAGTTTAGTAGCTTTGAGAGAATTTCCTTGCTTATTAGATTAATAAACAAAGAATACATTATAGAGGGAAAATACGTTTTCACTTTGAAATATGTCTTAAAACTTTTTCTTTAGCTCTTAGTATTATTTTTAGCTATGAGTATTCATAACAAGCACTGCACTAACAAAACACTACCTACCATTCCTAAATTGAAACTCATTTATGAATTTATAATGTTATCTTTTTCCTTAATGTAAGAGGGAGAATTTATTTTTGTTGTTTTTTGATTTGTTTTGCTTTTCTTCATTTGATCCTTTGGAAACTCTCTATGGTTCCATCTTTTCTCCAGTTTGAATCTGTGTAAACTTCATTCGTGACAGAGACTGCTTACCACATGCCCATTCTCCCGTCTCTCTCAAATAAACAGAACCTTACTTCTTAACTGAACACAGTGGAGCCAAAAGATGACATTTTCCAGTATCCTTTGCAGCTAGTTGGGATTTTACAAGTAATTTTGACCAATGAAAATTGATGGGGCTCTGGGGAAATCTCTTGCGAAATTAAGGCTGTTCCCCTTTCTCCTCCCATCCTGCTGCTTAAATTTTTAGTGAGATGGCTGGAGCTGGAGCTGTCGTTTTTGAACATGAAAAGAGATGCTAATCAAAGGTTAGCAGCAAAATGGAAGAAACCTGGATAGTGACAACCATAGAAACTTCAGGCCTGCCCAGCACTTCCTACCTATGGACTTCTTTCATATACAAATAAATTATTTAATAAAAGACACCAGATATTTAAATCATAACGTATTTTAGTGGATTACCCATACTTACACAATAATTAGAACTCTGAAAGACCAATTCACATGATTACTTTACATATATGTACACATTTAAGCTAGAATTTCTATTAGAAATCAGAATTTAAGCTAGAATTAAACTAGAACCTCCGTGTTGGCATCTATCGTCTTTTTAAAAATTTGGTTTATGATATTTCTGGTTATTGGTATTAACCTATACATTTTGGGTATTTTATTATGAGACAAGAAACTACTCCGGCCGTGGAAAGAGGGTGCTGCCCCATAACCTCCAGGGGGCAATCCAAGTCCATTTCCACTCTTGGCCTCTGTTGACACCAGAGGAAATGGCACTGCTTGTTGCTGCTGGCGGAGGTGGCTGCCAGCTTTCTCCAGATCTGAGATATATGGGTAAAAAGAAAGCCCAGGGAACGCACTGCTCTGTGTCATTTTGGGGTTCCAAGGTCACTAGCCAGTCTTCCTCTCTCCACGTTTTAGCTTCTTCTTATTTTTAATATATATAGTGCCCAAGGTTTCTAGTTATACTTGCTGATGGGAATATGGAAAAGTATACCTACTCCATCTTCCTCAAAGTGGAAGTACATTCTATATTCATTTTATTGTATTATTGAGTGGAATTGTCAACTCCTGCATACTGCCATAACTAGAAGTCTCTCTACTTTTGTCTCTTAATATTTTTTCCTTCTCTCCATTTTTATATTTTCTAGTTTAATTAATAATCATTCTCAGTGATCTAAGTTACAAAACAAAATGTAACTTTATTCAAAGCATGGTAGTTATCTACTGGTGTGTAACAGGCCACCCCAGAATTTCATGACATAAAATGACAACCACTTTATTATCATTATGGATTCTCTGGATCAGGAAGTTGGACAGGGTACAGCAGAGATAACTTAACTCTGATTCATGATCTCTGGGGTCTCAGCTGCCAAGACTTGGATAGCTGGAGACTGTAAATCATCTGTAGGTTTCTTCACTCACACGTCTGGTACCGGGACTGGGAATACTGGAAGGCTAAGCTTACCGTAGTTGGGACTATTAACTGGAATGCCTCCTATGACTTAAGCTTCCTCCCTGATGTCAGCCTCAGGACAGTGGACTTTTTAAATGGCAGCTAAGGGGTTCAGGAATAAGTGTGCTGGTGGACAAGGCAGAAGCTGCCTGGCCTTTTTGGATCTAATCTTGAAAGCCATACAGTGTCACCTCCATTGTACTCTATTGATTGAAGCAGTTACAAGCCCACCCAGAGAGAATATGGGAGATAGGTCAAAAAATTTGAGGCCAATTTTTTTAAACTTCCACAAAAGCATGTAAAATATGAATACCTTTTAATAAAAAATATATCAATTAAATGTAAATG